AAAGTAATATAGGAAAATAAGGAGTATAATACCACATTGGGTGACTAGTAATAGTAGCACAAATATAATTAGAAACTATACATCAATTGTTCTGTAAAAAGGCATTTATCATAACTAATAAAGTTTCTACGTTGGCAATATATAAAAAAAAAAAAAAAAAAAAAAAAAAAAAAAAAAAAACTAATATTATGTTGATAAATTAAATTTCTAATTTTTCACTATCTGATATTTTAATGATTATATAATTTTTTAATGATATTTATACAATTTCATTAATTAACTAAATGGTCTTTATGTTACTATTTGATTAAAAATATTTATTATCTCTTAAACAGGTTTGCAGACAAATTTGCCTGCAATTTTAAAAAACTTTATATTTTTTTAAATAAAAGAAAAATTATCAAAGATATAAATATATCTTTTATAAATTACATTATTCTAAATATATTTTATTAATTTTATTATAAAATTTCTTTTTAATAATTAAAAAAATTTCGAGTATTAAATAAATAAATTTGGTGCAAATTTGCACAAATTTAATTTTACAAATATGACAATATCTCAAGTTCTAGTGATCAAAATTTAACTATTTTAGTATCGTTTGAACCATCTCTATAAAATGGATCGAATGGTACCAAAATTGTTAAATTCTAATCATTAGATCTTGAGTTATTAACATCTTGTTAATTTTAATAAAAGCTCGTTGATCTCGATAACTATGATCAGAATTTAACTATTTTAATATCATTCGATTTGACTCAATAAGACGGTTCGCATGATACCAAAATCATTAAATTTTGATTACTGGATCTTGAGATATTTGCAAAAAATGATTTGCGGCACAGTTTTGTATTGGTATTTAGATTGATTTTATTAAATTTCTGTGCAAAACTACAATACAAATTGTTTTTTATGGATATCTCGAGATACAGTGATCAGAATTTAATAATTTTGGTACTATCCAAACCATCTTATCGAGACGAATCGAATGGTACAAAAATTGTTGAATTATAATTAATAGTTATCGAGATCGGTAAGCTTTTATTAAAATTAGCAAGTTGCTAATATCTCAAGATCTAGTGGTTAGAATTTAGCGATTTTGATACCCTTCAATCTGTCTCATAGAGACGTTTTGAATGATACTAATATCGTTAAATTCTAATCACTAGAGCATGAGATATTGTTGCATTTGTAAAAAGGATTTACAATCCCAAATCTATGTAGATCTATACTAATTTAATTATTCTGGATATGCGATTAAATTTTGCTTTAAAAAAAGCTATTAATTTTTATATATAGTAAATTATAATATTTTATTAGAATTATATATCAAAAATTAATATTTATAAAATTTATTAAAAAATTAACAAATAATTTTTATAATTTAAAGCATTTTTAAAAAAATTAGCTATTTTAAGTCTATATGTAACATAAAATTTTTTTCCATATAATATAAATTAAAAAATACAATTATATAATTTTTATTTTTAAATATTTATACTGTAAAAAAAAAATTTTTTTTAATATTTTAATTTTTAAAAAAAGTAAATTAAAAACATATTTACAATAAAAATTGCAGGCAAATTTGCCTGCAATTGCTTACCATTTAAAGGATATATTTTATATTATATATTATATTATATTTATATTAATATTAGAAAAAATGTGTTTGTCACCGGCAGTGACAATCCTGAATTGAGCTAGGGGGTCGATTCATCCCCTTAATCTAATCTGGGTTAGATCTAGATTTAGATCTAGCCTAGATCTTTTTTGCATTTAGTTTTGCTTCGCATTTGTTTTTTTTTATTTTTTATTTTCTTTCGCTTTTTCATTCTATTTATTTTATTTTGTTTTATTTTTTTTCGCTCTTTCGTTCTATTTTTTTTTTTTTTATTATTATTTTCTTTTCGCTCTTTCGTTTACTTTTTTTTTTTTTCTTTATTTATGTGTTAATACTGGTAATGATTAGACTTGCTTAAAACCGGAATCATGCAAGATAAGTAGTTGATTGTATTTTTTTTTTTCTCAAGCATTAAATAACACCAACCTTCTTTTTTTTTTTTTTCTGTAGCTTAGCTTCACTAAGATGCCAAGAAGAGTAGAGATTGGGACTGGAATCTTGTAGTTTTGCTTTGCTTTTTTTTTTCTTATTTTTCTTGGCTTGTATTTTACTGAAATATTAGATAATGAAATTTAGAATCAGAACTAGCTCTCGTAAAATAGTGCTTTTTTTTTTTTACTGTTTGCTTTTTTGATTTTTTTCAGCTTGAACTAATTTTTTCTTTCAGGCTTACTTCACTAGAACTATGGGTAGGTCGCTTCAGGTCGTCGTTGTTGGAGCTTTCACTAGTATGAATTCATTGTCGTTTTTGGTGTAATTTCGTCGCTTTTGGAGCCTTCAGCTTTCACTAGTGTGTTTCGGTGTCGTTATTTCTGGAAGCTTTCACCAGTGCGATTTTATCGTCATCTTTGAAAGCTTTCGCTAGTGTTATTTTTTTTATTTTTATTTTTTACTGTTTGCTTTTTTTTGATTTTTTCAGCTTGAACTAATTTTTTCTTTCAGGTTTACTTCACTGGAACAATGGGTAGGTCGCTTCGGGTCGTTGTTGTTGGAGCTTTCACGAGTACGAATTCATTGTTGTCTTTGGAAGCTTTTATTTGCGTCATTTTTGGAGCTTTCAATGTTGTTGTTTTGGAAGCTTTTACTAGTGTAGTTTGGTGTTGTCGTTTCTGGAAGCTTTCACTGGTGCGATTTCGTCGTCGTCATTTTTGGAAGCTTTCACTGGTGTGATTTTGTCACTTCATCATTGTTGTTTTTGGAGCCTTCAATATTATCGTTCTTTGAAGCTTTGTGTTGGTGTTAGTTTGTCGAGTGCGGTTGGTTTGTGCTTAGAGTAGTTGGTCATTAGTGGGTATTTGAGTTGGTTTGTGGTTCTGGTCATTAGTATATAGTTGGTTTGTGGTTCTGGCCATTAGTATATAGTTGTTTAGTGGCCGATATTAGTGATTAGATTTTTTTTTTTCTTGATTTTTTTGATTAATAAAGAAATACTTGAACATATGAGGTTATTATGATATTATAATTTTGTGCTGTGTTATAAAAATGTTAACTATTAATTTTTTTTGATTGGTTCTGTGGGATCCAATCTGAGTTAATTTTCTGAGGCTGATACGTTTTCATTACACATCAATTTGATTGGTTGCATGTGATCGAGGGCTGTCACCACTGGTTACAAATAGATTCGCTCTTAATATTAATACATAATTTGTTAATAATATATAAATAATTACATTATCAATCTATTATATATTAAATCGTTTATTTGTTAGAATTACTACTATTATCTTTTGTAGATTATTACTTTTTTTAAATTTATATGAAAAAGAGATAAATTAGCCTAATATTCTTTGTATAGGAATTATACAATCTCTTGATTCTTTATAAAATTTTTCTTGCCAAATTTCTATATTACATCACTTGTCATCATTTAATGATAAATAATATCTTTGTGTAGTATATGGTTAATATTATCAAACATATGCTAGATAATATTTTTTTTTTAACAGTTTGGCAGTTTTGCCTCTACTTTATTAGGTTTTATAATATTATACTGTGAAATATTAAAATTTTTGTAGAGTATAAACTCTAACACCACCTAAATTACAAGTATTAGCTCACCTGGCTTATTGTAACCAGAGTCCAAATTACCCATATACGACCTGCTATAGGTAGAATTCTTCTCCAAAATATTCTTTACTGCACTTGCAAAGAATAAATCTTTACCAAAAGGTTCCCATCGGCTTGTCAAGACTATCTATCCTTCCTTTTAAACTTTTTCCATCTAAATTTGAGCAGAATAGTTTATCTCTTACTTTTCTATAAGGAAAAAAAAATATGCTATATATATGAAAGAAAACAAAACTATTTAGGAAAAGAAAGAGAAAAACAAAAAAAAGAAAAAAAAACATTTAACTAAAAAAAAAAGGGGGTCCTAAATATGGTTCTATCATAATATAAACAAGATGAAAAGAGCAGAAAAAAAGACATAGGTGTTCTGATAAACCACCTTAAAAAAAAAAAAAACAAAAGAAACAAAAATAAGAACAATACACTATTATAATCTGTGCCAGGTATAAAGGTAAAAATTATATACTAATTGCAACTAATTAATATATCTCGGCTGTAAAGCTTCACTTTATTATTGGGACTCATTCCAGACACATCACCAGAATTGGGTATCTCCTATACAGGGGTTATCGATCTCATCCCCATACTATAGCACCATAGTGATAAACAAAAAAACATGTGGTTGCATTCTACTAAGTTCGTTTGAATTAAGTAAGTGTAAACAATGCTGATTTTTTGAAGGGGGTAAGCTGGAATGCCCACTTTTTGTCAAAATTTTTGGTGAGGTCGGCAAAATACGAGAGATAGAGAAAACACTTGAAACCATCAAAAGAGCATAGATTTTCTTTTACTAGAATTAACTATCTACCAAAGCCTGCACAGTATTAAGTCTTTTCAGTAGGTGATAAACTCTGAACTTGTCGGCAAGTAGCATATGAGAACTACTTCTAAACAACAAGTGCCGTGCCTGTAGTCAGTAAGTGATAAACTCTGAAACTGTTAGCAGGTAGCATATGAGAACTACCTCTAAATAATAGTTGCTGACTTACAGTCCCTTTTTCTATGTCTTACGTGAGAAGTCATCAACTTTACTCTAGTATACTGTATTTTTTCCTAGTAAGAAGTTTTTTGGAAATTGTGGTCCAAATGATCGTTGGAAAGAGTTGCCACTGTATATGATTGTATGCTAGATGATATATTTTATTATTATATTTATGTTGAATAAAGAATTGTATTTGTTTCAGATATATATCTACAGTATTGTCTCTACAAGCATGAAACTTTACACTAATATATAAGCGATTTTCATATCTAGATGCAATCTTTAAACCATATATTTTCGCTCCAATTTTTAATTTTCCAAACTGAGTAACTAATTATTCTATTGATTGTTCTCTTTTTTTATATAGATCACCATTCATATTATTAAATAGTGTAGTATAATATTCTTTTAAATGTTAATATAATTTATCAGTAGGAATTACATTTTTACTAATCATGCCAATCATCTCTCTGGGATATTTTTTCATTCCTGTGACTAATTTACCTTCATTAATTATATTAGCTATAGACAGATAATTTACCAAATTTTCACTTTCAAAGTTTTCTGTTATTTTTAAACTTCTACACACTTTTTTATCTAAAAGAAAAGAGTTTGGACTAATACTAATTCATCTTCATCCCTATTAACAGAATTTATTTTATATTCAACTTGGGCATTTTTCATTAAGATGTGTATAGGTTCAGATTCAATAGACCAATTACTTGTTGGGTATGTTTCTAACAAACTATTCATATGTTCAAAAAAATAGCACCAATAAGCATATGGTAAACCATAATTAAGACAACATTGTTTAATGTGAAGAGAAAGATAAATATTTAATATTATTATTTCTGGACTATAATGTTTTTCAATTAACTTTGCTATTTTTACTAGCCTATTATGTGCTTCATTTAAATCACTATTCAGCTTATTAATGAATTGCATACACAGACGAAATTAAAAATTATTTTTTTATCTTCAATCTCTAGCATATCCCACATATATAGAATAGCGAATACTTGATAAAATATCTTCCACTGATCTGCTATAAATCAACTAAATCTTTCTGATCTACATAAGACTTTTGATGGAATATATTCGATTTCTGATGAAATATTTATAATAGATATCTGCTTTTCGATTATTTTAAGTTAGTCATTGCTAATTTTTTCATTATCTAATAATAAATTTTTCATTATCTATTTGCCAATACCCAAGAATAAGCAATGCATTGAATCGACTACTATAAATTTAACTAGATTAAAATAATTTAGCTGATATAGTTCTGACCATCTAATTCCTGTTTTCTTCACATGGTTTAATCATTTTTACAAGATTTTTATTCATTCACTGCTTTAAAATATTCTGATATATTAACAGTATTAAACCATTCATCCATGTTTTCAAACCCACTATAATGATTTTTTTTGTTTTACTATCATATTTAGCGTGTTTTGGGCAATAATGACATTTTACTGTATGACTTGCATGTCTATATATCTTTCTTGCTGCAGAAACATCGTTGGCTGATAATATTAATGCTATATATCTTTCATAGCCAGTAATATTATTCTGATGAAAACTCAATTAACTCATTTACAATTGGTGCAAGATAATTATTTATTTGATGCAAACTAGATTCATTTGGTCCTGGGATGATACCTAAAGTTAAAATATTGTTTGGTTTAAATCGTACTTTATGTGATAAATTACACAAAACTCTATAGATTACTCCAATACTATAAACTATATAATCGAATAGCTGAAACCAATTGATATTAATAGCTAGGCCAATATGTGTATCAAGTGTTTCTTCTATAAAAAATGAACTTGGATTATCTGGATTTATGGCAAAGTTTTTCCAGATATTATTTTATAAATATCTAAGTAAATTCTGACTGAGACTTTTTTTTTACTAGAATATATTAACATTTTTTCAAAGCCTGCTTGCTATTATATCATATAAAGGTTTATTAATTCTGCTAATGGTTCATTACATGCTAATTATTTAGATATCGTTTTATGATTGGGAAATTCTACATGTATACACCTTTTTTATACTGATTGATTATTTACTTCATACTCTTTTATTTCTAATAGATTATAAAGTGTATAACATATCAGACATATAACATATTTTTATATTTAGTTAAGATACCTAAAGATGATTTTAAGGTATATATAGATGTTGGTAACTTATCAGCTTTGTTTATTTCAAAATGTTAAAGAAACAATATATATACTTTGTTAGTGCTTCTGTACCAGTATTAGGTATGTTGAATTTTTGCTGATATTTTATAATCTATAAGGTTATCCAATCTTTTGAACTATTTTCAAATTTAAAAGATGGGTCAAAAACTTCAGAATCAAGTTCCGGTGAAATAAAGTCAACAGTTTTATGTTCTTGTGAGTCTGTTGACAAATCACTTGAAGAAGATAAATCATTAGGCTTATCTAGCTCTTTATCTATAATTGTCATTGGAATATCTTTATCTATAATTGTCATAGAAACATCTTCATATAATAGTTAATATATATCAAATAGTAGTTTATTTCCTAAAGATTAATCAATGTTCATCTCTTCATTCAATGTTATCCTTATAAACTTTTCTTTATTTAATTTTCTAGAAATTGACAATTTTCTATCAAAATCATCTTCTAGATATAAACTTATTATATTGACTTCCCTAACAGAGCTATCTTCTTTATCATTTTTACTGGTTGTATTATCTTCTTCACCTTCTAAATCATTGGTTTTATCATTTTCAGAACTACTGTTATTTGAATATCCACTTGAATCATCACTTTTTGGTTGAAATACTGGTAGCAGTTTTTTCTCATTTTTAGAAATACTGCTATTTGAATATTCATTTTCAGAATCTTCACTTTCTTAACTATTGCGTTTTGTGGCTTTAGGAAGTAGTTCTTCTTCATATTTATATTTAGTTGATGATCTCTCTATAGTTATAGTAGTTCTACCAATATCAGCTAGACTGATATGCTCTTGTTGCATTCTTTAATCAACAAATTTCCCATTACATTTTAGACAATAACATTGAACTTTTTTTAGGATCTTCTTTAGTATAGCTAGGCAATATAGAAATATTATAAAATTATAATATAAAAAAACTCTAACCCTAACTCTAGAGCTAACTATAAACTTTACTATAACCTTTAACTAACTCTAACTAATT